TCATCTCTTTTGTTTTTGTCAAATTCTAGTTGACAGTCTAATAATTCCCATCGGTAAACCTCTGCAGACTTCAGGTAGCTGTAAAACCCCCAAACACATCCTCTATTGCACCATATATTAACAAAGGAGATTTCAGAATCTATAATATTCTAACACGAGTGCATATATTTAAGCACAAATTCTGGAATGATCAGTTAATCTTCCTTTTATCAGATAGAAAGGATAGACATCAGTTTTAGAGCAGCATTGGACTCACGGACAGGTGAAATTTTAAATAATTTTTTATATTTGAATAAAATAGAGAAAAAGAAGAAATTAGGGGAAAGTCATACTATTTGGGACATCTGCTGCCTTGAAATTTATGAGAACAGAATAATGCTACAGAAACTGAGTGAGGGTGAGTTCTAAATCTGGACATATGGCACTTTCTACTTTGTTTCTCAAGTAAACCTCACGCCTTGTCTGATGCCTAGTATTATTTTAAAGGTGCTGAAACTTTAAATTTCACATTTACACAAAAATAAAAATACCAATGGCTTAGGGAGATTCACCATCTGGATTTTAATTTGAACATCATACCTAAACCAAAGGTAAAGGGGGGGAAGAGATCAAGAGTCACTATCAGTCAAAAAAGGTAAGTGGAGTCTCAGGGAAACCAACTGTATTGACTTCACAAGTTTGCAAACCTCCTGGCTCCCACTCTCAGCTGGCATATGTTTCTTCTCCTGTACATGATCCAGCAACACAAAGTTAGGGATCCTAAAACAAGAAAGACTTGATTCGCAAACCCTGGCTGAATTAGATGAGAAAATTTTATGACACCAGACCCTTCCTAAAACCCTCACAACTTTTTACCCTGAAAGCCATTCAGATTTAAGTAGTAATAATCTTCCCTGGGATTAATCTCAAGATGGTAACAAAACACCTACTGACATAATGTCTATTTATCATTTTTTACTAGAATTTATTTAATAACCGAATGCTTGTTTTCTTAGTTCAGTACAAGCAGACATGGATTAGCTTCTAATCATCTCATTTGATCTTCATAATCTCTGTCTAATTCAGTGTTTTCAACCCTTTATTTTTTTAATCTCATGATGCACTTGAATCTGTAGTTAGACTTCCATGGCATACTCAAAAAGGAAAAAAAAAGAAAGAAAGAAAGAAAGAAAGAAAGAAAAGAAAAGAAAAGAATATGGCCGGGCACAGCAGCTCACACCTGTAATCCTAGCACTCTGGGAGGCCAAGGCCAGAGGATTACTTGAGCTTAGGAGTTCAAGCCTGAGCAAGAGACCCTATTTCTACTAAAAACAGAAAAAAACTATCCAGGCATTATGGCAGGAACCTGTAGTCCCAGCTACTTGGGAGGAGGCTGAGGCAAAAGGATCACTTGAGCCCAAAGTTTGAGGTTGGTGTGAGCTATAACACTATGGCACTCTACCCAGGGCACAGAGTGAGATGAGAGAGAGAGAGAGAGAGAGAGAGAAAGGGAGGAAGAAAGGAAGGAGAGAGAAATACCATGCTTTGAACTTCTTTCACAAATAACTTAATGATCTTTGAAATTTTCTGAAGCACATCTAAGATGCTCTCATCTTAGAGATTTTCAACATGAGTTGAAAATCACTGCCTACCCTGTGGAGTAAAAAGAATAGAATTATTACTTCTCTTCTATAAATGCAAAATATAGGTATCAAGAGACTAAATAACTTGCCTATATACAGTTCCCCAGTTGCAGGTACAAAAACTCAGCAAGGCAGAATGGTTCCCAAACCAGTGATACATTTTACAGCACAAAGTTAAGTCACTATACTTTTATCAGTTAGTTATATTTTTATCAGTTTTATCAGATGAGTTAAAAATGACAAAATATGTAAGAAAATGTGGTGTAATTACTGAGTGATTCAGACTGAGTACACTTCAAAGAGAATAATGTTTAAGAAGAAAACTGGAGAAGGAGGAAAGCATTTTCAGCCTATAGAAAAATGCATTCAGATGGATTACATGGGAAGCACCTACCTACTGTGTGTGCTCCTTGTACCTTAGAGTGGGTACAATCAATGGAAGGGTAGACACTGAGTACACTGAGTAGGACATATGTAGAGAACAAAGTGAAAGAGAGAAAGGAGAAAGGGAATGAGAAGGAAGAAAAGAGACAGGAAAAGCAAGGGATTTGGAAGAAAAACAAGAGAAAGTAACAGAAAACCAAAAAGCTAAAAGCAAACTTTTAAAAAATATATATAAGTTTATAAAACGAGTGTATGAAGGCAGAATTAGCAGAAAGAGAATATGAAATGATGAGAAATAAGAAAGAAGCAAGAGTATATGAATGGGGGAGGATGCTAGAATGAGCTGCTAGGATGGTGATCAGGCCCCCTAACACTGGGCTTCAGGAGCTGGAGTGGGGGCAGTCTGGAGTCCAGACATGCACAGTGTTGCTTGTCGGTCTGCACTCTGAGGAGGGGAGAGGTGTGGGAACCCTCTCTGTGCATCTTCAGCACCAGGTGAGTTTTTCTATCAGTTGAGGTAAGAAGAAGGATTACAGATACTGAAAATCATTTAGGCTTCTTTATTGGCCTATGAATACAGTGCTTCTTTGCCTTATCTTACTGGAATAAAAAATTTGTCCATGTCCGGTAACAATGACTAGAAGAAGATAGTAGGAAATAAAAGCAAAGGGAGATGGGGAGAAAGTAGCTCTCAGGTGCTACCTGTGTCTCGGCATCGTCAGCCTGAAAGAGCACAAGCTAACTATAAGCATGCTCCTGCAGTGCACACAGTGTAAGAATAGGAGAGGGAGCTTTGGTTGCCTTTCTAAGCACTGGTTTCTGTAGGCAGAGTGAGTATGAATGTGTAGACAATAGGTATTTACACGGGTCAAAGAGAAAAGGGAGTTCCAAGCTATTATGATTTGAAGGGGACCAAAGTGGTCTTTTTTCCAATTTGAATTTTCTTACACTCACCATGTACACGTTTATACGGATGTGAATGTGTATTTGCATGCACAAATATGTGCTCATGTGTTGTGCATACTTGCGCCACAACATTTGGCTGACAGTGACAAATGCCAGTAAGCAAATAAAACAAATGTCCTACTATTTCCTGATTGCCCTGCTATAAAATACCAACGTATTGCCTAAATTTCCCATGAGTTCTTATGTAGCTGATTTTTCTTTGTCCTTTTCCTAGTATCTCTCCTTCTAGCTCTTCTTTCTGGGGATGTCATTAATAGTTTCTGTCAAATTCCAATTAGGAATTTATCCCTTGCCATTCTCCCTCCCCCAACATTCAATGGCATTGTTGTTTTTTTTTTTTAAGACAGATATTGAAATACAGTCAACAGATCATAAAATTCATCATTTAAAATAAAATATACAATTGGATAGTTCTAAGTGTATTTAGAATTGTGGAACTATGAACATGATATAGTTCTAGAACATTTTCATCACACCAGAAAGATACCACATATTCATTATGTCAATCTCCATCCCACCTCTAGACCTAGGCAACCATTATTCTGCTTCTTTCTGCCTCTATAAATTTTTCTTTCTAGACATTTTTCATAAATTGAACCAAATAATATGTATTCTTTTGGGATTGGCTCCTTGTCCATAACAGCTATGTTGTAACATGCATCAGTACTTCACCCCTTTTTTGTTACCAAATTGCATTCTTCTGTATCCATAACACTTCTGAAAAATAAGTGTAACATATAATCAAACATCAAGACTAGCGTTTATATATGTTATAGTTTTTTCTTATCATTAGCAATATTTCATCTTGTAAATCATTCAAGAGTGAACTGCATAGTATTTGAGCATTTATTTATAAGATATTTGTCTTTCAGCTTGGTGCCTGTGGCTCAAGTGGCTAAGACACCAGCCACATACACCTAAGGTGGCGGGTTTGAATCCAGCCTGGGCCCGCCAAATAACAATGATGGCTGCAACCAAAAAATAACCAGGCGTTGTGGCGAACACCTGTGGTCCCAGCTACTTGGGAGGCAGAGGCAGGAGATTCGCTTGAGCCCAGGAGTTGGAGGTTGCTGTGAGCTGTGATGCCATGGCACTCTATCCAGGGGGACAGCTTGAGGCTCTGTCTCAAAAAAAAAAAAAAAAAGAAAAAGAAAAAAAGATGTTTGTCTTTCTATATTAACATAAAAATTAGAAAATAATCACAAATGTATAATTTTTAAAACATACCTTACAGTATTACAGAGAGAAATTTCATTATTTTTATGCACCCCAGTGGATTAACTTGTGTACCCCCTGGCATAAGCCCATCTTATTTTGGAGACTAGTATACACTAAACCTTAATTCTGGATTTTTCCAACATGAATAGAATTCTTATTTAGACAAAGTTAAATCCAGAAAAATTAGGAGAAATCTTGCTTGAAAGCCTGGTAATGAGATTGAAGTAAAAGGTACCAAAAGGGCACCAAAGCAGAACCATGTGATGAGAACTAACAAGGCACAAATTTGGAGACCAGGCAGATAGGTTACAACCAGGCAGGAAAGAGTCTATAGGAACTGAAGGAGAGAAGTAACCTCGCAAGCAGTTTGTTTTGTGCCAATGAAGAGAAGGTACTAAAAACTCAGCAACTAATCTAAATTACAGAAGAAACATTGCCACTACTGCCATAAAAATAAACAAACAAAACACACAACCTTGAGTTAAGTTTTACTTTAATCAGTAAATGTCTAGCATCCCTCATCCCTATAGTCCCACAGGACTCCAGTTATCTAGAAGGACATGGTTAAATGGGAATGAGAGTGTAAGTAGAAAAACAGTATCTTAGTGAAAAATCAGAACAATGAAGCAGAGAGAGGTTAACCTGGGGACAGGTGAGTTGTGGAGCATAAGTTGTTTTAACTAGGGAAGGTTGGTTGTAGCAAATAACGTTTTTAATCTGAAGAGGAACTATGAAACAGAGGAAAAGGCATTTAACATATAACATTTAACATATAACATTTTGCTTTATTTTTTTCTGCAGAGTGAGGTGATGGAGGTAGAAAACAGCACAGTGGTAACAGAATTCATCCTCCTTGGTCTGACCCAGTCTCAAAATGCTCAACTCCTGGTCTTTGCGCTTGTCTTAATTTTCTACCTCATCATCCTCCCTGGAAATTTCCTCATCATCCTCACCATAAGGTCAGACCCTGGCCTCACTGCTCCTCTCTATTTCTTCCTGGGCAACCTGGCCTTCCTGGATGCCTCCTACTCCTTCATCGTGGCTCCGAGGATGCTGGCGGACTTCCTCTCTGACAAGAAGGTGATCTCCTACCGAGGTTGCATCACTCAGCTCTTCTTCTTGCATTTTCTCGGCGCAGGGGAGATGTTCCTTCTTGTTGTGATGGCCTTTGACCGCTACATAGCCATCTGCAGGCCCTTACACTATTCCGCTCTCATGAGCCCCAGAACCTGCTATGCCTTGTTGCTGGCGCTGTGGCTTGGAGGCTTTGCCCACTCCATTGTACAAGTGGCCCTTATCCTGCACTTGCCTTTCTGTGGTCCAAACCAGCTGGATAACTTCTTCTGCGACGTCCCGCAGGTCATCAAGCTGGCCTGCACTGACACCTTCGTGGTGGAGCTCCTGATGGTCTCCAACAGCGGCCTGCTCAGCCTCCTGTGTTTCCTGGGGCTTCTGGCCTCCTACACCGTCATCCTCTGCCGCGTGAAGGGGCACTCCTCAGAAGGGAAGAACAAGGCAATCTCCACATGCACCACCCACATTATCATCGTGTTCCTCATGTTTGGACCTGCCATCTTCATCTACACACGCCCCTTCCGGGCTTTCCCGGCTGACAAGGTGGTCTCCCTCTTCCACACAGTCATCTTCCCTTTGATGAACCCTATGATTTATACGCTTCGCAACCAGGAAGTGAAAGCTTCCATAAGGAAGTTGTTAGGTCAGCACAGAGTTTGCTGAATGGAAGAGAACAATTAGAAGAACAAGAAAGGGAAAAGTCCATTTGAAGAAGTTAAATATTTTCTTCATTCATGCCTTGGTCAGTCACTTAGCAAATGTGTCATTTATTAAGCACTGTCAATGTTCAGCTACTATTCTAGACATGTGAATAAGATCACCGAGAGTCCAGGTCTTTCAGGCTTATATTCAAGTGAATAATGATAAGTTGAACTACCCTTTCCAGTCCAATTTTTCTGCCACCCCAATTTTTCTCCCCTAGCTCTTATTTATTTGGGACAGGAAACACGTTGGAAGATTACTTATAATTATGCTACAGTTTTAAAATAGAAAAACATAAATATGAACTCTCCTGATGATCCTGTTATCTATTTTATATTACATAAAATAAAGTGTTTTTGTTTATAATTTTTTGAGTGTGATACTTCTTCAAGCAATTTCCAGTACGAAGTCCAGGCTTCCTCTTGCTTTTCTCATAGTAGAAAATTATTTCTTTCATTCCACCATTCTCATTTCTTGTGCAAACCATGCAATCTTTTGTTGATTTTTTTTCATTTTGCATTATAAAATCCATCTTCCCATTTAGCCTTTCCTCAGTGCCAGAAGCTGATGGTCTTCCCCCTTTCTTGAGTTTCTGTTTCTCATATTGCTCACAAGCTGGGTGATGAGATTTCTCCTTAAGAAAGGCATGTCTGGCTCGGCGCCTGTGGCGGCTAAGGCACCAGTCACATACACCTAAGGTGGCGGGTTCGAATCCCCAGCCCGGGCCCGACAGACAACAATGACGGCTGCAACCAAAAAAAAAAAAAAATGGCCAGGCGTTGTGGCGGGCTCCTGTGGTCCCAGCTACTTGGGAGGCTGAGGCAGGAGACTCGCTTGAGTCCAGGAGTTGGAGGTTGCTGTAAGCGTGATGCCATGGCACTCTACCCAGGGGAATAGCTTGAGGCTCCGTCTCAAAAAAAAAAAAAAAAGAAAGGCATGTCTGTACTTTTTCTCCATTCTTCTGCTTATCTAATGAGTAAAGGATGTAGCTGTTCACAACGGCAACTTCCATCACTCAGAAAAGAAATATTTTCCACCATTTGTAGGACCTCCTCCTAAATCTGTAACATCCACAGCACTGATCAGTTCTGTCCGCTCTTCCCATAAACTCTGTGTACTCTAAAACTAGCTCTCAGTTTTTCAAATTAAACAGGTTGTTTTCTCCTAAAACCAGTAGTCAACTGTGTTTGAGGGACAAAGACTGTCCTCAGTACTGTCACTAACCTCTTGTCATGGAATGAGAAGCACATGATTTTCATGTCACATTGATAGGCATATAATTCATATTCCTAAAGTTTCTTTTTTTCAGATCACTTGGAAAAATCCTTCCTAGAAGTCATGAGTGTTCCTGTTATATGTATTGTCATTGTATGGAATTCCTAAGCTAGTTAAGGGCTTGTGTAGAACCTGTCGGCATAGCTGATAGCCTGAACACACATATGTGGTTGCAAAACTTGCAGCAAATTAATCACTATTTGAGATGTAGTTGGCAAATCAGAACAAATAAGACTCTCTGTTGTTGTCTTGCCATAGTAGGGAATGTTTCAGCACATAACCATTTTCTGAATCACACAGGCAAAAAATTTGTAGGCCCTAATTTGTAGGCTTCTTCAAATTGTAGCACTTGAATTGAATCCTTCCTTTGAGACCTACTGTTCTCTCATCTATGGCCACATTTCTTCCCCGTATATAAAGTTCTTTGCATTTACTGTCAACATACTCACTAACATTCTTCACTTTGTTCTCTGGTGCTGCATACTCTCTTGAGTTGCACTACGTAGAATGTCTTCCGACATCAAAATGGAACAGGAAAACTATTATGTTGGACCAGGTCTGACATAGGATCAGAAAGAGTTTTAAAATTTATAAAAAATTTTAAAAAAACAACACATATACACACAAAAAGCATAGTGTCAGAGAGAGATAGTATTCTGTAGCAAGTAAAAAAAAAAAAGTAAAGACTAAAGACTTATGAGCTTGGTACATTTGAAGACCAAAAAGAGGAACAGAAAAGTTAGAGTGTAGTTAGTGAGGGTGAAAATGGTTAAGAATTGATATTGGAAATGTTGGCAGAGGAAAAAATCACAAAGAATATTGTAGGCAATAATAAGCTCAATTTATTCAAATTTATAAAAGAAACCATTGAAAGACATTAAGAAGGAGAGTAACTACCTAATGTTTCCTATTTGACTTAAAACAGAATCCTCAAGATTCTGGCCAAAGGGTTTGAGGAGTAAAAATATCATTAAATGGACAGTATCCCACTGTTAAGTATTTTATTTTGTGGACATTAAAAGACATAGTTATTTTTTTTTTAATTTGTTAGGGAGAGGAAAAGCAAGGTTTTATATTTTATCAAAAATGACCATAAAAAAACAACTAAAATAACTAATGAGAGACATATGTTCCTTTCTAAAAAATTATAAAGAGGAAATTTTAAGGAAGTCACTTACAAATGATAGCTATTAGCTATCTTCTCTGTCACCTGTCCCTATAGGTATAGAACTAGTTATTGAAAACTTATCCGGCTTGGCGCCTGTGGCTCAAGTGACTAAGGCGCCAGCCACATACACCTAAAGTGGCAGGTTCGAATCCACCCTGGGCCTGCCAAAACAATGATGGCTGCAACCAAAAAATAGCCAGGCGCTGTGGTGGGCGCCTGTGGTCCCAGCTACTTGGAAGGCAGAGGCAGGACACTCGCTTAAGCCCAGGAGTTGGAGGTTGCTGTGAGCTGTGATGCCACGGCATTCTACCCAGGGGAACAGCTTGAGGCTCTATCTCAAAAAAAAAAAGAAAAGAAAAGAAAACTTATCCTAGAAAGATTCATTTACATAGGGAATTACCTTTCAAATAAAGGTCAGATTAGTCAAGTTTCTCAGGGAGCGTAAATCTTTAAGGTTAAAAAAAATCAGGACATTACCTTTAGAAATTAGATAATCTCTATTGTGGTGAATGCGTTTATTTATAATTTAAGATTATTATCATGTATCTCCTTTCCCCAGCAAATGTGTGCTTTACCTAATTTTTTATATGCATTTCTTTTTATTTTTAGTTATGTTTTAATTTCTCAGTATAAAGGAAGTGGAAAGTAATGTTCATGATGGCATAATGGTTTTCATATTTCATTTGTCCTCACTGGTACCACCCTGGAGATTTCAATGGATAAAGGAGAATTTTAAAAAGTGAAACAATGCCAAGGAAGATAACTAATAAATGGTGAAGGGACATAAGCAATTATTTTTCCGATATCCAGCTTGAGAAGAGCTCTTAATTTACTTAAGAATCAACATTACAAGCAATATTATTATTATATTATATCTGGAGGTAAGTGGTGATCACTGAAGTTTTAACTTTATTATGTACGTGAAGCACTAACAGCAACAGATGTACTTTCCTATATGTGTCTGTAAATTTATTCTTACCCAGAAAAGTTAGATAGAAACATACTGATAGACAGGAGTAGTCAATGATAGATAAAGAGAGAATAAATTTTTTATAACTTTAATTATAAGGAGATGATAATATTTCAAAGCCTAGAGAGTTCTCAGCATTCTATATAATGGAAGGTAATTTTTTTTATAAAGACAGCTCAGTGCTTGTATTTTTTATTGATTAAATTATGATTGACACATTATAGTTGTACATATTTATGGAGTAAACAGTAAAATTTCAATGCAAAATCTTCTCTTTTGGCTATCTTGAAATATACACTACATTGCTACTTACTACAGGCATCCTACTGTGTTTAATAGTACAACAGAACTTATTCTTTTTAAAATTTTTTATGAAATTCTTTAGTTTCCTTGCCTATAATTTATAGTAACAAACTTGAATTTTAATATCTATTATTATTTATTAAACAAACACATTTTATAGCATTTTGCAAAGTACTGTTGTTAGTATTTTACATAAATAAAAATGTGCTTGGATTCTCCAAACAACCAACCTTTTAAAGCAGGTGCTGATACTATTCCACATTACAAATGAAGAAATTGAGACTCAGAGTGGGTAAATAACTTGTCCAAAGCTACGCAGCTTATCAATGCTGAAGACAGAATTCTACCCTTAACATTTTAGCTGCATAGCCAATGGCCCAGAACTGTTTCTATATAAAACACATATGATCTTAACAGTTCTCAGTGAAATTACATAAAGTTATTATCATCATGTTGATAAAAGAAAAAGATTATTCTGTGAAAAAGAGAGATACTACACCATGAAATCCAGATATGTGACTCTCTTCATTCTCTTAATAATTTCTATTTGCACAGTCTGTCAAATGTGCAAAACTTACTCTTCCTGTCAAATGTAACTTTGTACCCCTTTATTAACCTCTCCCGTTCCTCCCCTCCCTTAACCCTCCCCATTTTCTGTTCTATTCTTCACTTCTATAAAATCAATTCTTTTAGATCCACATATGAGTGAGATCATGTGGTGGTGTCTTTCTGTGACTGGTCTATTTCACTTAACATAATCCTCCAGGTTCATTGATTTAGCTGCAAATGTACACAATTTCATTCCCTTTTATGGCTGAATACTATTTCATTGCGTCTACACACCACATTTTCTTTACCCGTTCATCTGGATAAGCATTTAGGTTGATTCTGTTCTCTGGTATCAGGCTTTAATTCCTTGCTTTTTGTTTCTAGTGTATTTATTATAGGTTTTTCCTTTGTGGTTATCATAATATCTTATTAGTTCTAGTAAGTAATTTTAAACTGATAAGAACTTAACTTTGATCATAAAAGAAACAAGCAAAAAACTAAGTCTACAAGTGGCCAGGCAAAATGACTCATGCCTTTAATCCTAGCAGTCTGGGAGACCAAGGCAGGTAGATTGCCTGAGCTCCCAGGTTTAAGACCAGCCTGAACCAGAGCCAGAGCCGGACCTCGTCTCTAAAAATAGCTGTGCGTTATGGAGGTGCCTGTAGTCCCAGCTACTTGGGAGGCTGAGGCAAGAGA